GTGCTGCAGAATGATCTTCCTGGAGACTGGCTGCAGCTTGGACCACGCCCCCAACCAGGCTGCTTTCATTGACTCCCTGCCCATCACTTGTGCCTTTGGTGCAGCAAATTTCGATTCTAAACTGCTATTTCAAGTAGTCAATAGTTCAGCATGTTTATTGACTACTGACAGCGTGCTGCTGGACTGGTCCCACAGTGGATGGGATCAGGCCCTAATCAGGCTGTGGCCGTCATCTCCTCCTGCGCCCAACTCAAGCCACTGTCCTAGTGTAACGGATCTCAGGCCATCCCACGTGCTCTTGTTCCTAGCTCTGTGCTTTTGCTTTTGTTGGCCTCTGCGTGAAATGTCTTTCCCATCCTTCTGAACAGTTGCTAACCCCTCGAATGCAGACTTCTTCCTGGGTCCTAAGATTGAGACTCTTGGCTGCTGGACAGGGCAGCCCAGATATGTCTGGTCCTTTGAAGACCCTCCAGGGATTTGGGTGGATTCCAAGGACGGGGGCGTACTTCAGAGGCCCTGGATGGGCCAATCTCTCTTGCCTCACTGGCCTAGGTTCCTCAGAGCCTCAGCCAAGTTTGGGCTCTGATTTGTGAGCTGCAGGAGTGGGGCTGACCTGGTGGTGATTCTCATCAGCCTCCCCAGGGTGGTACTGGGCCCAGTGGGGATGTGGAAATGAGGCACTGCCTGGGGAAGAGAGGTGGTTTTTTTTTTCTTCCCACAAATGGACTTAGAACCATATTCCCCAGGGAGCCCCTGAAGCCAGCGTGAGAATTGACTGAGGGAGTGAGTTCTGGCTTTCAATCCCATAATTGTTATAATGCAGAAATTACTCACGACTCTGCATAATCAGGTTGGGGTTATAATAGTGTACTTAAGCAGAGCCCTGGGGTGAGCGGATGTTCAGCAGTGTCCTCTGTCTACATCTTTCCTGCCCAGGCCCCTGCTCTTGTGAATGGAGGGAAAAAGCTGAAGCCTTAGGGAAGAGAAAGGGGGTGCTGTGTCAAAGCACCCCCAACCCCAAAATGGGGGCCCAAAAAGCCTCAGGAGCCTTAATGTCAACAGCAAACTGACACTTGGGCCTTGGAGTTGATTTTCCATTTTATCCTTACCATTTGAATAGTTTTGTTAAATTTGTTTTCTTTTTGCATTTGAGTGTTGACACCACCTGAAAATATAAAATTATGATTGTCTTATTGAAATCAAGGGACTTGTCTAAGACAAAGGCATTAAATCTGCTTAATTATTTAACTTTTCCGTTCCAGAACTGAAGTCCTAGTTTCAGTGGAATAATAAGCAGATAGGGTTACCATGACCACAGTGAATTGCCACGACAGTTTCCACAAAGACTGAACCGAGTTGCTTATGTCCCCTTTCTGGTGACACAGATCAGAAGAGCATCGGGTATGGCTGGACCCTGGGATGTGGCCGGAAGCCTTGGCTTTTGTCATAAGCTGAGTGGCTGTGGTGTGTGGCCATGGTGTGATGGTCACCAAGTGAACCGGCTTCTCTCAGACTGTGGTTCTCAGCTTTGGAAAAAAAAAATGCTGAGAAGACTAAGTGAAAAAAATCATGGTTTTAGCAGTTCTGCATTTAGCACATGCGAAAACTTGCCATGGGGCTCAGAGACACCGTCTGGGGTCCTATTCCCCAGCAAAAGGAGAAATTGTGATTCACAGCATGAAAGGGGGATTGTGAGCCATGAAGTCTGGGCTTTCTGTCTTTGCGCCTCTCCCCAGACACTCCCCAGGTATTTCCTAGCCTAGGATGCCAGCCTCCTGATCCTTAGGAATTAGCTCCAAACAGCTGGGGAGGCTCACCGACCTTCTTAGAATAGCCCCACCTCTAATTTCTCCAGGGAAGCTCTTTCTCAGCTCACTGCCTGACTACTTAACATACAACTGCCTCTCCTCCTATCAAGTGGGTCCTTCTTATATGCTAGGAGCCTCTCCACTGCCAGCCTGGATCTGCTTGAGATGGTCCAGCCAGCAGCTCCCAGAAGCCTACTCTGGGGTCAGGCACTAATGATACAAAAGTAAGACCCACTTCCTATGCTCAAAGAAGAATTCATGCTTGCAGAAGATCACTTGCATTTTGGTAGCCATCCCTGAACCCCCCAAATCCTGCAAGGCTCAGAGAAATAAATCTGAGGTAGTGTTTTGGGGGAAAACATATTGGAACAGAAACTTGAATTCAGCACCCCTTGAATTGCTTGACTAGTATCTGTCTGCCCTCCTTTATACCCAGAAACTCATCTGTGAGCATCAGTTTCAGGCCTTGCCCCCTCCTCCCACCGAAAGGAAGGATGTTATACTTGGTTCTCAGCCTGCCAGCTCATAACTGCAAGCGACAAAAACAATGACTGAGATTGTACTTGGTGACTTGTCCCCTAGGAGAGATATACCCTGGGATAGGGGTGGGGGGACGGGTGTCATTCTGGGCATGACTCCCATTTTTAGAAATGGACCTTACTTATGGACATTCTTAACAACATGCTCTGGCCTGGTCACTGTTGTTTTTAGTATTAAGAATTGGGGAAATATGTGAATTATGCTATAGACAAAATAGCTAAGCCTTGAGGCCTACACAAAACCGGGGCATGGGAAGAAAGAAGAATCTGAGAGCCGTAACAACTTGGTGCTGAAGGTTAGAGCAGTTCTTAGGGGTTTCAACTTCTGGTACCACTTGGAAGGCTTTGGATATTGCATAATGTCCTGGGGAATAGTGAGTTGGCCTTAATTGTCACCTAGATCAGTGGTTACAAGATGCTGGCTGAGGAGAAGAGCTTGCCTGTGACAAAGATTTCACCAGTCTGAGCAAAATGGAAACAGAGGGCAGTGAAATGTAAGGTTACAAACAGGGCTTTCACAGACTTTTCTGTATTCTGAGATTATACTCTTCCTTGGTCTGTAATGTTAAAATGTCATCTCATGAAAATAATGGTGATAGCTGGTGATAGTTGTAATTTTAAAAAATTTTCCTGCATTGCAAAAGTAGTCATTAACCTTATTTTGGTGCTCCCAACATTTAAAAAATATATATTATGTGCTCAAAAATCTCAGAGTCGAGAACCACTCACCTTGACCACCCATGCAGTATTTTGAGTACTAGGGTATTTTTTTCATAACGTGTTCGAGTTAATGCGATCATTTTTGGAAAGGTGTGTGTAAAAATACTTCCAAAGTATCAAATCCAAGCAAAGAGGCACTCCTGAAGAGCCACGCATACCTTGTTATAACAAAACCACTGCTTAATCCTATTAAGAAGTTTATTGCCAGTTAACCAACTTGAGGAAATATGACTGACTCAGGACCAAGAGAACCAGGCCATTGGTTCTCAGCCTGGGGCATGCAACAGAATCATGTGGACGGCTTGTTAAACAGGAGTTGTTGATCCCACCCCCAGAGTTTCTGAATCAGTGGGTTTGGGATGGGGCCTGAAAATCTGCGCCTAGAACGAGTTCCAAGGTGATGCTAATGCAGTCGCTGGGTCCACACTTTGAGAACCACGGGAGTAGACCCCTGGCTTCTCACTGGATTTGCTCAGGGAGTTTAAAACGAAACAAAACAAAAATGATGCCTGGGTCCTACCCACAGAGATTCTGATTTAATTGTCTGAGGTGCCTTGGGTACTAGGATTCTTAAGAGAACCCAAGTGATTGGCAAGTTTGAGAACCACTGGACTAGGTAACAGATTGAATAAAAATCTTTGTGACTTAACCACGGAAGTTTATTTCTCACGCTACGTGTCCAGATAGGATGTGGTGAAGAGGGAAGTGCGGTGCTCCGCACAGTCCCTCAAGTTCCCAGGCCGGTGTAGTTTGCACCACTGAGAACTGATGATCTCCGTCTCCGTAGCACGGGCAGAGCTAGGCTGCCAGTTCTTCAGTGATTCACCCCAGAAGTGACACACAGTGAGAGGTCAGGGAAGTCATGTGCCCTAACTGTGAGGGAGCTGAGAATACAGAGGAGCACCTGGCATTTGGGGAACGGGAAGTTTCTCTGCCGCCTTGCTACTTCCCTGGTACAGCGAGATCTGATCCCTGGTACAGTGAGATCTAAAAAGTGCCTTCTCAGTTGTCTCCTTTACAGTGACTTTTTTCTGCCATAGAATGCTTACCTACTGTCGACAGTTCAGAAGATACCAGAAACCTTAAGGACACAATCCCTCCCCCTACATGGGGATAACCACTCTTTATTTCTGTTGTGCATCTTCGCGATAATGTTTTTCTATACATATTCTTTAACATGGTTAAGTATTAAAAAATTATTTTGTAACCCAGTGTTTTAACTTAATATTTTCCCATTTTACAATTAAGTTAAATAAAATGTTAGTTAACTATCATATCAAGCTATTGCATGAGAATACTACCATATAGTTGGTCATTCCCTCACAGTTAATTTTGATTAATTTTTTGTCAGTAGTGTACTCTTACAGGTACACTTGCACGGACATATTTATGAATGACTTTTTTCCCTTCATAGTTCTGGTCACTTACTTGGATAAATTTCTAGAAATAAATGAACAGCTTTATTTTAAGTTATTGTTTATATCGGTTATTGTACAGAAACTCTCTCTACAGTTAGCAACACATACTTAATGAGTCTAAGACATTGATGGAGAAATTATTGAACTTGGCTCCTGCCTTCAGCTAGCTGAGAGCCTACGTGGGAAATAAATTCAAAACACAACTAGCCCTAATCTCAAAGAGGAAGAGAAACTGCAGTTATCTCCATAAGTGGTTTCTGAAAAACCTTCCTTCTGGTGGTATATGAACACCTAGAAGAAGAATTTAGTGCTCCCTGGGAGTCAAAGACAAGGGTTCTAATCAGGGCTTGCCTTTACAAGGCTACACGACCTTGGGTGAGTTGTCTTTTCCAGGCCTTGGTTTTCTCATCTTTAAATGAGGTCATTGGATTAGGTCGCTTCTAGTGCTGCTGTTCTGTGCCCCTTAAATAGTTGAAGGGTGTGGGTGAGCATGAGTGTATACTTTCCTTTTTTAGGTGTCTAATTATGTCTAGCAATCTGGGACAGTTTCCATGGGACTTGCTGGAAGACCTTGAGGTTGCCCAGGGTCCGTTTCTGCCCCGGGACTCTAGGATGACACGTCCGTGACAAACCAAGTTACCGATGAAGGAGCAAGGTCCAGGCTTATTGCAAAGAGGAGCTGAGAAATGAAGAGCTTTTCAAAGGAGGAGCTTTTTAATGAGAAGCAATTTATTTGGCATTGGAGACAGATATTAATGGTAGCAATATAACTCTTACCAGCTGTGAGCAAGATATCTCCAACCTCATCACATACATTATTTCATTAAACCTGCTAAAGCTCTGAGAGGTGAGTGCCTTTATCTCTCTTTTGTTTTTTGGGAAACTTGAAACTCAAAGAGGAGACATGAACTGCTTTAGGGTGTTGCCCCAGGGAAAGTGAGGTCATGGCCAAAATGCAAAGTAAAGCAAAATTAGCTAACTCTTGTCTTTGGAGTCTGAAGGCTGAGATCAAAGTCTAAAAGTCTTTTCCCTCCCGCAGTTTTCTGGTTTCACGAGGATGCTACCGGATGAGCCAAATAAGGCCTTAATCCATGAAATTGTTGGTAAAAGCTGGTAGTTAGGAGTCTCAAGTGCATTTTGTCCATGGAAAAATGTACTAAAATGACTGCTTAGGGTCCTTGGCAATCCCACATTCTTGTTCCCCCAAACGTGGCTGAGCTGTAATAGAGGAGCCCTTCCCCAGGTGGGCAGCCAAGAGCTATGGAAATGCACATGGCTGGGTGCAGGGAGGAACAGTGACTCGGCCCGGGCCCCAGGTTTGGCATCATCTTCCTTATAATTCAGTATCCTTTGCCCCAGATTCTCTAATTCCTTAATAATAACTGATTTGTGTATGATTCTTACTATGTTCTAGGCTCAGTTCTAAGCACTTACACATAGTAACTCACTTAGTCTTCAGGATAACCCTGTAATCATCATTCTCTTTTTATAGATGAGGAAATCCAGGCGCGGGGAGGTCAGGTGGCTTTCCCTAGATCTCGGTTGGTTGGCGATGTACATGGGATGTGAATCTGAGCAGTGTGCTTCCAGAACCCACGCTCTTAGGGATGCTTCTGCCCAAAGTCATTCAGGGCAGTACCTGTCTGGCCCAGGCCTACCCCTCTGAATGGTTCATGCCCCTGAATTAACTGCATTCCCCCAACTCCCAGTCAAAACCTTGAGTGCCTTATTGCAGCAGAATGCTGATTTACCACTAGCACGTGGATGATGAGTACAGAAACCTCAACGTCACAGAAGGACTTCTATTTAAAAAGAGGATGCTGGGTGCCCAATAACAAATTGGTTGAATTTCAGATAATGAGACAGTGTGAAGGGAGAGATGTTTAGGGACAGATTAAGTCCATCTAGGAGCCTGCCTCTTGAGGCCAGCTCTGCTCAGGGAGTCTTGCTTGGGTTAACATTTTCACTTTCATCTCCCAGTTTCCATAGGGGCTTCATTGTTTGCAAGGATGCAGGACAAAGGAAAAATATGGGAGAGGTTTTGTACATAGAGGGTTAATAAATTAAAGATGGCTGGGATTCCCACAGCCCATAGAACGGAGTAGCTATTTATCGAGCTCTTGCAATGTGGTAGGCCCTTTACATACATTCTCATTTTATACAACACCTCTGTGAAATACGCACATTGTTACCACCGTCTTTCAGATGAGGACTCAGAGTCTCAGAGACTCTAAGCAACGTGTCCAAGGTCACACAGCAAATGAATAGCAGAGCCAGAATTGTCTCGACTCCAGCGCTTGCATTCTCAAGGACCCTCTCACGGGCCTTTTTCTGGCTTGTGGATGACTACCGTAATTACATCCTGAGCAGGAGCATCTGTGCAGGATCAGAAATTCCGCTTTGACTCCTGTTGTTTGCATGCAAATTCCTGCTTGCTGCTGTTGGTTTTCTTCCTTTGAAGCTTAGGGCTGTGACTGCACCCAGGGCAGAGTTTTTCGTTGGCTTCCTCGGCAGCTGCCCTGCCAGCATTGCCTCATTCTATCTCCTCGAATCCTGCTGCTGCCTGACCCCGGAGGAAGGGCTGAAAAGTGCCCAGCCCAGCCCGGCAGGCCAGGAACTGCCTGGGCCATGACTCCAGCCTTGGTTATCTGAAAAAAAAAAAAAAAAAAGCATGGGGTTTTCTCAGAGAGGCTTTACCCAAGAGGAAGGAAAAAATATGGCAATCGAGTTTCAGCTGACCTTAAAACCCTGTGATCTTAGTCCCTGTCATTTAGTGAGTTCCACATATTACTCAGCTTCTCCATTGTGTAGCTGGAGGAAATACGCATGCTGTGTCATCGGTAGTAGTCAGGGCGCAGTTTGCTCCCTGCTGAGTTTACTTTTTGTGTATTTTGAAGTTTAGGACCAGATGGGGTGTCTGGGTGAAAAAAAGTTCAGGAGCTTTTTTCTCTCCAGCCCCTTTCAAGGTGTACTCCTTGAACGGTTTGGGCAAGTAAGTAGGGACAATCGATGCTCAGTTTAGAGAGGGACTGGAGGAGGCTGAGGTCAAGTTCTCACCAGGAAGGCTAAAGACATCTTTAACCTTCTACAACTTCCCAGAGTTGGCCCTTCTGGGAAGAATGAACAAGACGGAAGGGACCTGGGCTTTCTTACCTGCCCAGAAGGCGGACAGCAAACACAGGAGGCATGGTGACAATGAGGAAACCGTTTGGCTGGAGAATTGGTTCATTAGGGAGCACAGAGAGGACAAAGTTGGAAAGGACCTTGTGGCCTGATTTTGTGAAGAGGGGTGACTTGAGTGCCCTGCAGAGGGGCTGGGTTTTATCCTGGGCTCAATGGTGGCTGTGGTGGTGTCGGCACTGCAAGTTTGTAAAGAAAGGGTCCTGATGAAATCAGAGACGTTGAACAATCACTTTGGAGGTGGCTGGAGGGAGAGACAGGAAGTGGGGAGGCTGGGAGGCGATGATTTCATTCATAACGGGTCCGAGGGGCTGAGGCCCTGGCTGGGGAGGCGGCTGTGGGAAAGGAAGGGAGGAGACACGCCAGTTACAGGGCAGAGTCCATGGAGCCAGACTGTGGCACAGGCAGGGGAGGGAGGATGCGCACACCTTCTGGGGCTGCTTTCAAATCATTCAAAGAAAAGAGATTGTAATTTCGAGGGGAATGTGAAGCTTTGTCTTTTTCAGGTAAACTTTTAAATTCAAATATAACATATATCCATGGAGCGCACACATATCATGAGTATACACCGTGATGAATCTGCACCCAGTGAACATGGTCGTGTGTCCAGATGCGGAAACAGCATTGCCAGCACCCCAGCACCTTTCCCTCTGTCCCCTGCCTGTCCCTCTCCCTTCCTGCCAAGGAGGCCACCATTCTGACTTCCAAAACCTTAGATTCCTTTTGTCTGTCACTCAGTCATTGTAAAATTCCATTTATATTGTTGCATAGACTTATCATTCATCCAGTCCCAGTATTCCACTCTGTAAATGTAGCACAATTCATTTAGCTCATCTCCTGTTGCTGTGTGGACATCTGAGCGCTGTCAGGTCTAGGGCTTCTAGGAGCAGCCTTGTTTGTGTCTGGTGCACAAGCTCCCAAGACGAGCAGTGGGCTTGCCGGCTCACAGAGTGTGTGTGCGTTTAGTTTACATCGATGCTGCCAAACACGTGCTTGGCAGCGTTTGATAGGTTCAATTTTAAGTGGCAGCTGTAAAACAGGTTGGGAGATGGGGTTCAAGCTGCAGATCAGTGTTCAAATTTAGTATCATGAAGGAAAGGCGTAGCAACATCTTATTCTTGAGATGCAGCTCAAAGCCACTTTTGTCCTTGAGCAGTGTGTTGGAGCTGTCATGAGAGGGGACCACACCCATCCCGGCAAAGAACTGCCAACAGTCCTTTTAGGTTTCCGAGACTCTAAGCTAGGAGTATCCCCGGGCCAAGTTTCTTTGCCCAACCTCCACCCCCCCCCCACCCCTCCTTTCTGGAATGTGTGCAAAAAAAATTTTTTTTGTAAAATTTTTGTTTTTCCTGAAAAGTTGGACTTTCCCCCGGGTTTATGACATGTGCTTCATTGTATAATCCATTCCTCACAGTTCCATCTCTTACAGCGCTTTGCATAATTGCTGTAATTGTAACATTTTGGAAGTCATGCGGGGAGGGAGGGAATAGGAGATCAGGCTGGCTGATGGCTGACTGATCAGGATGTCCACAGACCCCCGGGTGACACGGAGAGCTGGGGAGGGCAGAACAAGCCCTGAAAGAAACAGGGTCCAGCAGGAGATGTCTTCTGTCTCCAGGGAAGCTTTTGCTTGCAGACCAAAAAAGGAATTTTCAAACTCCTCTGCATCTAGGGGAAGAAAAAAAAAGAGTTGCGTTCTGTACAACTAAATACTTATGTAGCCCAGATGTTAGCAGGAGGCCTCCCTACCCCACGAGAGCTACGTAAAATTAGCTCAACCTCTACCAATCTGTGGTCCATGAAAGTCAAAATCCCTCCCTCGAGAAACTGAAGCTCTAGGGGCCATGCTGTTCTCTGGAGTTTTGTTACCCGAGCTGGGTCTGGAGACTGGCAGCATCGACATCATCTGAGAGCTTGTTAGAAATGTGGACTCAGTTCCTACCCTAAGGTTTAAATCTACTGAATCAGAACCCACATTTCTGCAAGGTCACCAGGTGATTTGTGTGTGTGGTGCAGTCTGAGAGGCACGGCTGCAGAGGAAGAGAAGGGGCTCTGGAGTCTAACAGATCTGGGTTCAAATCCTACCTCTGCCGTTTACTGTTAGGTGACCTTGACCTTGAGCTTGTCACTGAGCTTCAGTTTCCTCCTCTGTAAAGTGATGATTACACCCTCACTGCCACGGCATAGGTAAGCCAACAGACTGCCGGCTGAGATAATACACAAAGCCTGACATATGTAGATTCTCAAGAAAACATTGTTTCTCCTTCCCAGACTCACGAGCCCCAGAGGCAATGGAATGCCTTCATTCTCCCACATCACAGGGCTTCTAGTGGAAGTGTTTTGGAATATGACCCAGAGATGCCCTCTTGCCTGATTTGAGCAGGTCAGGCATTTGAATTGTTCTGGAGATGGTGACAGACAGGCAGAGCTGCTCACAGGCGCATGCGCCCCCAGCTAGCTAGTCTCGGTGTAGAAGACTGCAGAAGGGACAAAGCTTTTCTTCCGTTAATCTGGGGAGGGGGGTGGTTAATTCCAGTACTAGCATCAGCATATGAATGCAAGTCCTCACGCTTCTGTTTCCACTGTGTTTAAAATGTTCCGATAGTATAGTGTGTTATAGCTGAGT